CGACTCGTCATGGCGCAACTCTCTGTATATAGGGACCCTAGTTCGCCCAAGGCTAGTAGAAATCATTAATGGCTAGCACCATGTCTTGGCTGACCAGTACCGCTGGCAAATGCCGGTAATACTAAAATCCGTAACTACTTTTTGTGCAATTTATCCCATTCTTATTGAGTAATAAATTTTTGCGTGCAAACGTCAATTTATCGCTAAATTCCAGAAGGCTTGCTAAGGTTGATTCAAATTTTAATCCCATTACTAAAAGTTGCAAGCCTCGGAATGCATCTCAGATAGTCTAAAATCACAATTGTTCTGGGGAATCCCCTCCCACAGACCTGCCCACGCATCATGCTCTCCTCCTGTGAGCAGCTAATTGCTAACCCTGGCACCTCGGCATCACACTCCAGAGAATTAAAAAGCTGGTAAATATTGTTAGGGGGGGCTTGTAGATTTTACAGATCACTGATTTAGATTTTAGGTGAAGATTTTAGGTTAGTTTCAAGCTCTGCTTCGCACAGAGCGTACGACACAAAGATGGACAGCAACTACTGGCACCCTGACTATGCAACCGACGTGCGTTTGAAAGCGCGCGCGAGGTTTGCGCAAGCTGTCCCCTTTATGAAGGTCACCTCGACCACAACAGTACACAGACGACGGCGTGCGTAAAAAGGGAGTGGGTGGGGTGGTGTGGCGGTGGGGGGGTGGGTGGGTGGTTGGGTGTTAGGTTACTTCCACTGATGTACCATTAAATTAATGCTCCCGTATTGGCTGTTTTATCATTTCAGAGTTATTGTGATCGTTGCGTCGTCATGTAAGTATGTGACAGGGGACAATATAGTCGATGATTTGCGCGCGTAAGAAACAAAAAACAATGTGTTGACAACAAATCGCAGGGCGTGTGACGTTCGTTCACTTGTTGTTTTCATCCGCCACGCATCCGATTACGTTCTAAGATAGATCTAATGTTGGGTGTCGCTTCGACTGTGCAGGGCGGCAGGTTTTTAATTAGTCTCATTAGTTAATGACAGGTTATACAGGGATAGCGTGTTATGTGGGTGGGGAAGGTGATATGCTTGTGTGTGTGTGGTGGTGGAGTCTGTGTCCACACACGGGCGGGGAAAAAATGTTAATGACATGATCTGTATTGACTAGTGCTGACATCTGTAGTACATGTTTCAGGGACCGGCCTTGCAAATCTCACCACAGGTATTTTATTTCTAGCGAATTTAACTCTTTGCTTACGTTTGTTCTGAACATCGTGAACCGATTGTTCTTGTGGTGGGGTGTGGGAGCTGGGTGGAGATTGCGATATTCAGTGATTTGTGACGTAAGCTCGGAGCGACGAAGGTTTATTCCGGTCATCCTATGCAATTTCTATCTGAACGATGGACGTACATGCTTCATGCTGATGTTTGTATATGCGTGCTTGAGTGTGTGCATGCATGAGTGCGCGCACGCGTACGTGTGTGTGCGTGCGTGCATGTGCATACGTGTATGTGTGCGTGCGTGCGTGCGTGCGTGCGTGCGTGCGTGTACGTGCGTGTGTGTGTGCGTGCGTGCGTGTGCGCGCGCACGTACGTGTGTTTGTGTATGCGCGCGCATGCGTGCATACATGTGTCTGTGTGTGCGTGCATACGTATGTCTGTGCGTGCGTGCGTGCGTGTCTGTGTGCGCGCATGTGTATTGACGAGGCTTTGTGTGCGAATCGCATCGAGTTCACGCTCGCGTCTCACGTTGTCCTTTCCGTCGTTTCCTATTTGCAGGTCGGCGAGTCCTGAGAAGAAACGGCATCGGAAGCACGCACGAGACGTCTCAACGTCGTCGTCATCGTCCTCCGACTCAGACTCGTGAGTACCTGTCTCAATACCCCAGGGTGCGAAATTAACACGGGTCCGGAGTCAAATACTCCCTGATTTGACATAATGCAGAAGTCTGTGTGACTCCCTAAATATTCTGCTATACTAACTGTATTTCGTTTCAGAGCACAGCTTCGCGGAATTACCGCATTTTTGCAGCAAATGTCGAAAGAAAATTTGGCAGACGTGCATCGCACGAATCTTCAAAATAAGCACATGCGTTATTGTTGTTATGCTTTAGTTTTGAACTTCAGACTGCTGACTCCCTTATTTTGCTGCGGACTCCTTCTTTTTAAGAGCAGGGAGTCCGTTAGACTCGCTTGTTCAAAAGTTCATTTCTACCCTTGATACCCGTCTCGATACTTGTCTCAACGCGTCTCGTGTTCACCGTGCGATCGTCGTGTCGTAACGCGACCCCGAACCCTGATGTTTGACCCCGCTCACCGCATGATAGCCGTAACCTAAACCCCGATCGCACACATGAGTAATTTTACTCAAGTAAAATGATGCATGCGTCAAAATACTTGACGTGTGCCCGCTAGCCGCTGCGTAAATTTACTCACACTGGTTACGGCTTCGCTGTGCATGCTTTTAAATCATTTTAAAGATGACTGTGCGCCGTATCTGGCAAGCGCACAGTCAGCGTGATCTGGGGCACTTACCACTTAATACCTTGAAGTAATTTTTGACTACTCACGTGTGGCGGTGCGGACGCTTGACATATATTGTCGGGCGGGGAGTATTTTTTGACGCGTGTATCATTTCACTTGAGTAAAATTACTCAGCGTGTGCGCCGGGCCCAAACCCCCGGATCCCAAACCCGTTTTGCGATCATCATCGCAGCCGAGCGAATTGGCGATTGGTCGCCGGGACCGGAGAAGAAAACGCGGGAATAGTGCAAGAGAAAGCTTGTGACGTCGTTGAGAGTATGGGAAGGTGAGATACTTTATTACTCATATATATGTTTGATCTATATATATATATTATCATATATATATATCTATATATATCTATATATATATATATAGTATATTATATATATATATTTACTATATATATTGTGGTAAACGAAATAGAATAAACGCGGCGGAAAATTTCAACCTGGTAAGCGAACCTCGCCGTTATTGCATATCGTTAGTACGGGTGGCATCCTAACCAGGTGTCAGCATCTCTGACGACATCGTTGCCTGTTCTCTAAGTCGCGCAGGTCTCGAAGTCTCCCGGTGAAGAAAGTCGAAGAGCAAGAAGAGGAGAAGCAAGAACAGGGAGGTACGGGCGACGCGGCAGCGAGGAGCGTCGCCGGGACGAGGAGGGCACGCGGGCGCGCATCCGCCAGCCGGAGAAGCAACGCTTTGGAGTCACCGCCGGCGCACCCCCCTAGGTACTCGGCGGGCGCGCGGCGACCCCACTACCCGCTGCTCACAACTCGCGCCCTCCCTCTCCCCCCCCCGCCGCCGCACCCCCGCGCGGACAGCGCCAAGACCGCTTCGTCGGCACCGCGTCCACCCCCCGGGCCCCCCCCCCCCCCACGCAGCGACCCTCCTCCTCGCCCTCCCTCCTCCTCCAGATGCCAGAGAGATGGAGACCCTCCCTCCCTCCTCTCAGACTGAGGACAAAGGAGACCCTCCCGCTCCCGCTCGCTTCCAGATGAGAGGCAGAGGAGACCCCCCCTCCCACTGGCCTCTCCTGCACGATGAGAAAAGGAGACTCTCCCTCCCTCCTCCTTCAGATGAGGCGGCTCTGCCCGCACCGGAGAAGACCCTCGCCGGCGCACGAGGAGCCGCGTGTGACGCGCGCGCCGCCCCCATGGCGTCGCGATCGTCTGGGCCGGAGACGGTCGGCTCGTCCTCCACCCAGCAGCGCCCCGCCGCCTTAAGCGGGCGGCTCCGGTTCGGGAGACGTCCATTAACGGAGAGACGGTAAGGATCGAGCGTGTTCTTATGTGCTGTTGTGTGGTGTGTACGCTGTGTGTGTGTGTTGCGGCGCGGTGTGTGTGTGTGTGTTGTGTGCGTGTGTGTGGCGTGCGCGTGGCGCCGTGTCATTGCACAGCTGTGCTTTTCGTGTTTGCTCGTGTAATACACCTCGTGTGTGTGTGGTATTCGTCGGCCGCCCCCCGGTGTGTGTGTGTGTGTGGCGTGCGTGCGTGCGTGGCGTGGCGTGCGTGCGTGCGAGCCGTGTGCAGCTGTCTTTGTGTTTGATGTGTCATACACTGTGTATCGCGCGGCTGCATGCATGCGCGCATGTGTGTGCTGTGTGTATCGTGTGTGTGTGCGTGTGGTGTGCGTGTCACTGTGTTTGTGTTTGTGTGTAATACAACTGTGTGTGGATGTGAATGCGTGCGCGGCATCGTGTGTGTGTTGTGTGTGTGTGCATGCGTGCGCGCATGGTGTGTGTGTGTGTGTGGCGTGCGTGCGTGCGTGCGTCGCGGCGTGCGGCGTGTCATGTGTTGTGTTTGTGTGGTAATACACTGGTGTGTGTGTGTGTGCTGTGTGTGTGTGTGGTGTGTGCGCTGTGCACGCGCGTGCGGCGTAGCGCTGTGCCACTGTCTTTGTGTTTGTTGTGTAATATCACCTGTGCGTAGCGGGCATGTGTGTGTGTGTGATTCGTGGTGTGGGGTTTGTGCGTGCGTCAGCGTGCGTGGCTGTGTGTGCTGTTTGCTGTACATGGGGGCGTCGAGTGGCGCATGGCGCTCCGGCGATCTCTGGGCGTATGATTCGCAGGTCCGAAGAGCAACTCGGCGATCGCCGGTCCGCGCGGAAGGCAGAAACGGTGCGTTCCATAGCGGGCGGCTCATCCTCCCCGGCAGCCAGTCGCCACGGCAACCCATCCGTCGCGCGTGGGCCGGCGCGGCGTGCGGGCGCAGGCGTTGGCGTCGTGCGTGCCACGCAGCTGAAGCCGGCGAGCGAGGAGAGAGGTCAAGGTCACGCGAGCCGGCAGGAAGGTCAAGGTCACGCGAGCGCCGCTGGAGGTCAAGGTCATCGCGCAATGTTCGCTTAGCTAGCTCGAGCCCATGTACCCGCAGACGTTCAGGCGGGTAAGAGCTGCCACCACCTGGGCGTGAGTGGAGCGAAGCAGGTGCTGCAACCCATGTGCGTGATATGGAGCGAAAGGTGCGCCACCTTGGTGTGAGTGGAATGCGCACAGTGCTGCCACCTGCTTGTAAGGATCGCTCGTAAGAAGCGCAGTTGCTTCGATCGCCTTGCCGTTATGAAACTTTCCGCGTCTGTTTATGCCCTTCATCGTCGATAATTCGAGTGGTAGCAATGCGATCGTGGAGCATTGTGATTCATTCTCACGTTTCACGACCATTCGTTTCCGCGTTGGCCTGCGGGCGGTATTGTTTTGCATCTTGGAATTTAATTATTATTTCGGAATTTTGAAAACGTGGAATGCATTTCGATTCATTCTTCCCGTTTCACGGGCCGTTGTTTGTCGCCAGTTCAGGGTATTAGCCAGGAATCGAGACGTATTGTGGAAGTGGCTAGAAAAAATATTTTGGGAGGTGCAATTTTTTGTCATGTGCTGTTTCAGCCATAATATTTTGGCCGCGTACACTACACTTTTTGGGCGCGTGCAGTTTAAAAGCTGACCGGGGGGGTGCATAATCCTGGCTGCATGCGTCGCTGCTAATACGTTGTTTTCTGCTTGCCGGCAGTGTCTCCTGCTTAGGTTCGGTAAGCGCGGACACGAGCTGCCGACCGCTGCCAGGAGCAGCGGTCGTGGCCACCAGCAGCTCTGTGAGTCCAGCGAGAGTAAGAAAGGGAGGCGGGAGCGGTGAGTGAATTAATGATGGGTGGAGTTCTGTGAGGCAACGTAATGCTAGCCGCACACTATCCGACCGAGTCGAGTCGGAGGCTTACGATTGGATCGAGAGCTCTTAGTTTGGCTCCGGGAAGCTTAAGTTTGGCATCGGGAGGTCATTCGAATTTTGAATCGGGAGGCGGATCGGGGTCGTATAGTGTCTGGAGGGCTTACGACGGACGATCGGATAGTGTGCATTGCATCGCACGATCGCGAGCGCTTGAACGGAACATTGACAAATGCAAGAGGGCAGCGCCTGGGCAACCAGCATTCGAAGGACATGCATTCGACACCATGGGAACACTACTCCCGACCCTTAGTAGCACGGGTAAATGCTGCTTGGAAGCGGCCACGAGAGTGGCAATGTTTGCGCGGCAATTTTGAGTCGGACAGTGTTGCGGTGGCCCTCGATGCGATTCGGATCGGGTCGGATAGTGTGCGAGGGCGTAGTGCTGTGCACAGTGAAAATTCGGATAGTGTGGCGGCTAGCATAACACTCTGCTGCTACGCGCTGGCAGGTGGGTAATTCTTCTATCCCTACAGCTTTCCTGGTGTTGCTCCGTTTCTGCAGGTCATCGCTGCTTTAAGTCATGCATTGGTGCGCGTTAAAAGAATCTGAATGTATCAGCGTACTCGGCTGCCGCAGTTTTGTTCAAGACGTATTTAATAAGCGGCGAAACGCTTGTTGTCAGGTTGTCAGAAACAAATCAGTTCTAGCATCAACTTTCGTCTCGTTGACGTGTGCAACAGAATCGTCGTTCTGCTACGGCGATTGTATATGAGGTGCGGTTCTATGATATGGCTAACGTTAACCGTAATTATGTTTCTTGAGCGACAGGAGACCCCCCGCCCCTGTTCGAGCGACAGTATCTCGAATGTCGTTTGTCGTCGCCACGCGCGACAGGCAGCGTTTCGCTGGCATCTGTCTCATCGTCTCGTCTGCATCTGCGCCGCTGACTCAGTCGCGTTCTCCGGTCTCGCGGCAGGGTGGCTCGCAAACCGACCGCGCGGCAAACGCACGACTGAGAGTCTACATTCCCGGAGCAGACGAGGTCGATTTTCGAAGTCGAGGTCAAGGTCGTCGTCGGCGTCAATGCGGGCCGCGGTGGCGGCTCCCTCGCGGCGCGCTCGACGTCGTCGGACAGTTCACGGCGTCGCGCGGCTCGCACCGCCGAAAGCCAAGGTCAGGTCACGTCCGCCGTCCTCTGCGCCTAGGGCAAGGTCTCAGTCCCCGTCTGCTGCCTAGAGCAAAGTCAAGGTCATCGAATCGCCCATGCTCTCCCGGAGCAAGTCAGGGTTCCCGCCCTTCCAAGGCAAGGTCCGGTCGCCGTCCCCTCCCGGATGCCAGAGGCAAGGTCAAGGTACGGTCGCCCGTCGGCTCAGAACAGCAGGTCAGGATGCAC